CCTTAGATGCCCGTTCGGACGTTCATAACTAGCTCGAACTTNTAAATTTTTTTTTAACCCCCCCCCCCCCCCCCCCCTAAAAAAAAAAAAAAAAAGAACCTTTTCCTGAACAAGCACATAATGTTTTTAAGTAGCACATACAAAACATAGAAATATTGATAATACTGTTTTCAATTGCAGGCAAGAAATAATGCCCGAATTATGATATCTGGCTCCTTAAGCATGTTTAGCAACCGGTTAGTCATTATTGAGACATCAGGTGGAGTAACTCTATTTGAACGCGATCTAATTTGAAAACCTTTGATTTTCTATTCAGATTCTTCAGTTCTGGGGTGCAAAAAGCTGGTGGTTCAATTAAGTAAGCATCTAGATACATCTATTGATTTTGTTTGTTTAACATGATAGTGATCTAAGCTTAGTGACTAGTACACTTAGATTGTTAAATTAGATGATATATGCGTATATAGATATAGTCTAATATACGTTGGAAGCTTTCGATTGGCTTGATATGTTTATATGCCTCTAACTTTTTTTATAAGCCTCAGTACTGATTTGACTTGTCCAAACTTAATGTTATAGTTTATGATAGACTGCCCAGGCCTCGATTTAATCAAGAAAGCATAATTACTCTGAAAGATGAAGGCTGTTTTTGATAAGCAGCAGCGTCGTATTATCTTTTTTTCCTCCTTGTTTCCTTGCTTCTAACTTAATTCTATGCGAGCAAGGTTGAAAAATAACATATTTCATGCAGTCATCTTCTATGTAAGGTACATGCTAAAAATCACCGCTCTTCATGCTTGCTGACTTAATCTACCACAAATTTTATCTTGCGATAACAGCTATGAGAAATCAGGGAATGAGCAGTTTTTGACCGAAATTAGCAAGTGGGTTTTCCATGAAAGAGGTCATCTCAAGGTGCAGTTTCAAAGCTAATTTGTTAATCAGCTTCCCCGTTTCTCTTTCTAAATTTTAACTCGGGCATTACAATTTTCATGGAAATAAAGGAGGGAAATGCCCTCTGGCACTATCTAAGCATTCACATTTGCTATTCTCAATATGTGAACTATTCTAGGCTGTGAACGTGAGACATCACAGAGTCGGGGAGACAGATGAACCATCCATATACAGAATCAATGACGAATTGGTAATTCTGTACTTTATGTTTGTGATCATTTAACATTGTCATAAAATATAAAGCAAAAATGGTCTTTGGATACATACTGAAAAAGGCAATTTGATTGAAGGAATATTCTGTTGAGATCTATGAATGGTCTGGAAAAAGTTGGGAACCCTATGTGGCTGATGATGTGCAAGTTCAGTTTTACATGATGAGCCCCTACATATTGAAAACCATGTCAACTGATAAGAAGGTACTCTTAAAAGCTCCACAGATTACTAGGTAGGAGTTATTCTCACCTAGATTAGTAGTTCTAATGTCACTTCCTACAGGGTGTCTATTATACAACTTTCAAGGTTCCAGATGTTTATGGAGTATTCCAGTTCAAGGTTGAGTATGACAGACTAGGATACACGAGCTTGAGCCTTTCAAAGCAGGTATCCCCTTACAAATCCAAAGGCACTTTATCTTGTTTATATATTTTTGGAATAAATTAGTCATCATACTGAAAATTCTTGTTATATGCTTGAAGAGGTACTATTCTTTACGTGTCCTGCAGATATTGGAATTATAATTTCTGATATGAGAGGAGACTTTATGATATTGGTAATGTCCAATCCTACTCTCGATTTGAGAAGTACGGTTGTAGCAATAATAAACCCAACAAAGGTTGGGGTCGATTCCTTGAGGAGTGTGGTATGTGCTAGATTATCCAAATGTGTGTGAACTTGATGATTCTTAAAATAATCTCCAAACAAATGGTTGATTTTGCAATTACTTCTAAAAATTACTACTGGACAGAATTAAAACTAGTCTAGTGGACAAAAAAGGCCTCATCCCGCAATCCGTGGCAATGGATGGTGATCCATGCCAACGAATCGCATGGTCCTGGCTCAGAAGTAGCTTCACCTTTGTGCCATCTGTCACGGATCAACCATGGCGAAATCCAGAAAGTTCCAGTTCTTCAGCTCTTTGACCCCTCCGTAACCGTGGCAACGGATAGCAATCCGTTGCATGGTCCTGCTTCAGTTTTTCCTCTCAAAACTGATGACTTTTTGCCAAAGTTTGATGTTCTTCAATCTTTAAGCTCTCACACAACTACAAAACATTAAAATACCTGTTTCAAAGACATAAGTAGCCGTTTAATTCCAATAAGTGGAGCATAAAACTCATAAAAAAAGAGAGGAAGCTGGCCAAAATGACTTGTCATGACCTTTCTTTCCTGCATAGTCCGGGTGTAAGAATTACTAATGATCTCTTAGGTTTACAAACTCGAATGTAACTGTTTACACTTTTCTGGACTAAATTCTTGTCTTCATGATTTTTGAAACAGTTTGCTGATTGTTATGAAAGTTTTTGTATCTGTACTTTGGTCTTCTCTTTTCATCAGTTCTTGAAATTGTTAACTCGAAATGGTGAATAGATCTCCGTATTTTGAACTATGAAGACTGGATTGACAGCCTATTCATCTTTTAAATTTAATGTCACTTGACAAAAAGAGATGCATTTGCATGAGAAATTGTAATGATAAAACTTTTGACTTGCAGATTCCTGTTCGGCCCTTCAGACACAACGAATATGAGAGATTTATAACAGCTGCTTTTCCCTATTACGGAGCATCCTTCTCTATGGTACATTATTTTTCTTCTCTTTGTTATGTATTACGGAATCCCTGCCAACCCACATATTGTTCTTAGAAAAAGGATTGGAATCCCCTTTTCCCCTTTTTAGAGAACAAGAAGTCACCCCTGTTTCTTCTTTCTCAAAAACAAAAAGGAAAAAAGAAAAGGAATAAGAAGTCACCCTTTCTGTTGCCTTGTCGTGGTAAAGAACTATGCTGCATTGAGCATATAGCACGTTAATCTAGTATATAGCAGAAAAAACATGCATTTGGTGAATTAAGCATTTAGTGATGCTCAATTGAATATTTTAGCAAATCTGTTCAGTATGATCTCCTTTCCCTTCTTTCAAAACCCTGCTGAAGCATCTGAGGATGTGCATTAGTCGGGCCACAAACAGGGTTCGGATGCATGATGTGACCATGAATTGCACGCAGTTGATAGACTGAAATGAAATAGCGTCCCAGCTATGGTGTTGTGACACCCCTTTTCTTCTTATTTGATATTACTTTTCTTTTACATTATTTTACTTTCTTTGGATTGGAAGCCCATTTCAGTTATTGCCATTACGTAAGTTTTGTTCTACATGATGCCCAACCATCCTAATTGGCGTGTGGATGGAGAATGGGCTGAACGTGAATGGGAGGGGTAAACAGGGGGTGTAAAGGGGAATAGGCTGCAGTCTGTGGGCTGTGGTAAAAGGTAAGGGTAAAATGCAAATGGCACGACTTGTCGTTGGTGTGTTATTGGGGGTGTAAAGGGGAATAGGCTGCAGTCTGTGGGCTGTGGTAAAAGGTAAGGGTAAAATGCAAATGGCACGACTTGTCGTTGGTGTGTTATTGGGGGGATTTTGGGGAAAGTGGTAGCTTGTGAATTACTTCATGGAAGTGTTATCTGACCTAAGAAAAAAATATCCTAATCTTCCTTTTCGCAGAAAACCCTAATCTGATAATCTAAATTCTACCTGTTGCTTTTTTCCATTGTGTTGTGTAAAATTTACTCTTTAAGTGTTGGACATGGAACAGGGAACTTAAATGAAGCAACCACAGAATATACATGACAAACTCTCCCCCCTTTATTATTTTGTTGACTTGCTAGGATTGATTTTATTACATTCCTCACTCAAACAATAATGTGTTGTGGCCATCTTTCTATAGTTATAGCATTTAAACTGTTTTTGTCTTTGCTCGCACATGAATATTTTAGTGATCATTGCCATTTCTTTGCATTGTAGATGGCTGGTTTCTTTATTTTCTCCTTGGTATATCTCTACCACAAGTAAGACGGAAGGAATGGAGACTCTGTGAAGGAATCTAGTGCAGGTTTTGCATCTGAAGGTTTAAGTTGGAAATACAGGATATAGCGTGTTTAGCCAATAGTGTTCCGCGAAACAAGTATATTCTGGTAATTTGGCTGTGCTTTGTGGCAAAATCAAGTGAATTAATGCGTACTATGTTCTAATATGCTGTTCAAGATGTGATTGGCTAATTATTTTTTCCTTTTATTGGTTTTAGTCGAGATGATGATTTGCCACCTTGTTACAGCGAATTGCAAGTCTTTTCCAATACACTTTTTTCTAGGCCCACTATCAGGAGTAAGTTTGAGGTGTTCAAAGATATTATTTTTCTAATTTGGGCCGAAATTGCGTTGTTAGTGTGGACAGAAGTGGCTTTGTAAGAAATTTTGCCCCTGCATAACAGTGAATTATTGGTGTTATTACTCAATAGTTACCTTGTCTTTCTGGAAATCTAGCTCGCTTTGAAGATAGTGAGTAGAACAGAAATCCACGTGCAACACTCCTTTTTTCCTGGCAATGGAACGCATTCAGACAACGGTTTCAACCAGAAAAAGAAAGAACCAAAGCAACCTCGGAGACAATAAGCTAAAAAGAGGAGTCCGAACAAAAGCTGGAAAATATATGTACGGAAATGGCTCAAATGTTCAATCAGACTTTAATAAATGGCCTATCAACGCATTCAGTTAAAAGTTGGACATATTTATGCCACTAATGTTATACTATCGGCTCATATGCCATTATCCGGTAAAGGAATTCTCCTGCTATCGGATTTTGCCACATGGCATTATCTAAACCCTTCATCACTTACTAGCACCCTCCCCTCTCACCCCCTCTTTATGAGTGGCATATATGAGCCATTTCATTATGTTCGGTGGCATATTTGAGTCTTTTCCCTATTGTATTACATAATTCTCTTGGGTAACAAATTTTGTTTATCATTCGGATTATATTCATGTATAAACCTTCATTTTCTTTTTATTTTATGCAATAAACTTATATTTATGTAACAAATTTATAAGGACAAGTTTTTCCCTTGTACTATAATGTTATAATTTTACATGAATTTTTTTGATTTAATTTATTGGACAATGAATCTAATTATATTTTACATCATTCAAAAATTTCTCGTACATTAGCTCTTAAAAAGATTTAAAAACCACATAAGAGTTATTTAAGAAAAAAAAAAAAAGAGACGGGCTTACTAGAGAGTACATTAATGAGGTGTAACTGGATATGGTGATGGCTTGGGAAAATGACATAAAATTTATTTAGGAAAAAAAGGGGTTTAAAAGAGAGAATACTAATGAGGTGTAACTAGATATATATGGAAAGTACATATGAGTGTGCGAATTAAGAGTAGGTATGTGTTTCATTGTAAAATTTGGGGTTGTTACAATGGTTGAGACGTAGTTGTGTCTTGGAAAAAGGCTCAAATATGCCATTAAACTTGATGAAAAGGCTCATATATGCCACTCGTAATGGGAGGTGAAAGGGGAGGGGGCTGGTAAGTGATGAAGTGTTTAGATAATGCCACGTGGCAAAATCTGGTAGTAATAGAGTTCTATTAGTATATATATATATATATATATATATATATATATATATAGGTTTAATTATCTTGTTGTTTGCTTCCTGTCCTTGCATCCATTTAATTTTCCCCTAATCTTTTAGGGGCTTCCTTCCGGTCCCCTTCGCTTCGGACCAATATATATATTGGTCCGAAAATGCATATAACGTTATCTTCTGGTCTAAAATAACCCCCGCGACTAACAAATTTTTTTGTGGTCCCCTTTTTAATGTGTTGGCAACATGTAACTGGGCCACGTGCATCCCAAATCGAATTGAGTTATACCCGCTCCATTTGTTAGACCCGACCCATCCGTAAAAAGATGAACGTCACTGTCTGAAACTTTAGTCGGTCTCTCATAGATACACGATAGAGTATGTCTACAATACCCATTTTGGATTTTTAAATCCTACAACATATGCAATCAATAGTACGGAGTAATCAAGAATGCTGACAACCACCACAAATCCAAACCAATACAAAATTCTTATCGTGAAAAGTGTTAACCCCATTTAGAGATTTGGTGTTTGGGTAAAGCCAATGTGAAGAACTTAAAAAAAAAAACTGATTTCACTATTGACGTTAATTCTGTGCAATACTTGTGAAAAATTGTATTAAGATTGAGTACTGTGGCATATATCTGATTGTGAAGTCAGATCTGAACTTTGATTGTGGTATGGAAATGAAACTTAACATAACATTTTATGGAAAATGCCATTGAAGGATTAAGCTCGAGCTGAAATTTTAAACTCGATTTCGAATGCGATTTTGAGCTTGAAACTGAATAATTGTTGATTGTAAACTAAAATATTACTGATTCTAGATGAAAATTAAAGAAAGAAAATGAAATGGGGTAAGGTTGGGCGGTGATGTCTTTTGCTTGACGAAAATGAATTTCGACAATGATATCTCTTTCTTGTGATGTTATTCCGATAACTTTTCCGTCATCGGAGCAGTCAATTTTTGGCCGACGGCTTTAGAGAAGAGCTTTAGAAATTAGGGCGGGTTAAAATCGATTCGGACCAAGAAACCACGTGGCCAATTACGTGCTGCCAACATATTAAAAAGGGGACCATAGAACTTTTTGTTAATCGCGGGGTAATTTTAGACCAGAAGATAACGTTATATGTATTTTCCGACTAATAGGTGGATGGAGAATAAAAGTAAACCATTTACCAATAGGTGGACGGAGAGTAAAAGCATATAGGCCATTTCTTAAAGTTCGATTGAATATCTGTGCCTTTTCTGATATACGTATGGGAGAACACCTTCAAATGGAGATAAGAAGAAAGGTGTTTACCCGTAAATGGTACAGTTGAATTTATAACGTGATTTATAGACAAGTGAATCGATTTGATCCAAAAATGATAAATAAATAAAGACAAAAATAAGATTAGCGACTGAAATTAAAGGAGATAATAAGCCTGAGTTAGAACTTAGCCTTTCCGAGGACAAAAGTAAAAGCAATTGTTCAGATGTTCAAATTGAGTGTAACAAGATAATAGATTATAGCTTTTGTGTGCAGAGTCTTTCATGTCCCTATAATGGTTGTTATCCCTGCTATTTATAGCCATATTTAGGGGGGACAAGATCAAAAAATCAAGCTCCTTTTGAATGAGAATAAAATCGCCATTGATGGGTGCATAACGGTTTGCTATAAATGCAAATACTCTCTATAACAGTTGCCCAATGAATATTACCTGATGACAATGCTGCAAATCTTTGCTGTCGGTTGTTTTGTCTTCGAGGTTGTCACGACCCAAATCTATGGGTCACAACGGGCACCCGGTACCTTACTCAATCGAGTACCAACATACATATATACGCGTATATAACACCATCTGGTCATGGGTCAATATAAATGAATGCAATGCATGAGAAGTACGTCAATAAAATCTTTCGGAGTGTCATAAGACCATTATGCCTCTGATTAATATCATGAAATAGACTTTATCAACTTACGTCTTTTCTGAGACCCATGAACTGACGATATAATAATAAGACTTATGGGAAAACAAGAATATACGTATCTTTAGCATTTCTACGAATAGAGTCATTTATGAAAGTTATGCATTTGCTCGTTTTGTTTGTGTCGTATAGATCATGCCAAAAGAAAGAAGGGATAGCCTTAACATACCTGAGCCGATTTTCTTGACAATCCTTCTAACACACGTCAATGCGACTATACGTAACGGATCGAAGTGGGAAAAAATCCGCATGATATTCTTGAGAAATATTGTACCGTGCTTTCTTAGAATTGCATCTCACGCATAATCGGACCTTGTATGAAATTTGCTGAAGCTCATCCGTCACTTACTAAATTTGACCATCTTCAACTTGACATTTTAAAGATGCCTTTTGTTGTGCTACTCAGCCAACGTTGCTGGCCTATAATCTAAAGTGGCAAGCATGCCATAACTCCGTTCATATTCTCCAAGTTATGTTATCAATAAAGAGATCAAGCAAGGGTAATTATCCAAGAGTTCTATACGTGTAGACAAGGCATCTTATGCCTTATGACTCATCATGCAACTTTGTGCCACTTGGCTTGGCTTAATGTCATGTGGCAGCCCCAAAAATATCCTTATCCACTTAATTAATTATTCACATAATTAGGAATTATTTCAAATTACTTAAAGTACTACTCACTTTTAACACACCTTATACACCTTACTATCATGGTCATGTGGTACCTTGTATGGCACTAATCCATAAATATCGGGTATTATAGCTCGGACCGTATTTTATCCTAAAATGTCAAACTTTGACGAAACTCATTTTCTTCAATTTGCTTACCCTCTCACCTTCACGAATTTACTTATCACTTGTTTGAAATAGCATAATGCTTGTAATCTCAAAATAATCTCATTCCCGAACTTGCGTCGATTAACTTACGACGAAAATTTAACGTCCGAAAATGCGGGATGTAACATCTCATTCCTAAGCTTTCATCAATTCACTTATGGCATACTTTCACGTACGAAAACATGGGGTGTAACAGGATTGTCCGACATTGATCGCTCGGTGCTTGCAACCGGTGACAACTGTTTGCTAATTCATATTCCACTTGTCTTGTGTGCCACGTGTCACACCGTCATTCACCCAGATTTCAAAAACTAGTTTTACCCCATACAGATAGTCCCCTTACTTTTCGGTGACACAACTTAATGTTACCGGGAAGTAGATAAGAATTCCTTTCGTGGCGGAAAAGTTCCTGAACGGTCTCTAACATTCGAAAGGACGCATGTCTTCTTGAATTTAATAACCCGAACACGTGTTGCTCTATGATTCAACAAGTATTTTTGCCAATTTTCGAGGTAATCATGACCGCGATTTTTACTGTCTATAACTTCCCCATTACTCATCATTTTTACTCTTTACTTTCACTATTTTCACAACTTTTTATCCTTCTCTGAATTTCCTTAGAAGTTTTCAACAACACTCAACTTTCTCAATAAGAACTTCTTCACTGATCCTTTTACCACCCTGTCTTCTTACACTGCTATCTTCGGAAACACCGGTCTTCTCTTCGGTGGAGGCCTAAAGAAAAACAAAACCAAAAAGGTTTACGTCGAGTCTGAACCTCCAACCGTGAACACCATCATTCCAGTTCACCTTAGCACCACGTCTGATCTCCTGAAGCAAAAAGCACATGCAGATCCCTCAAGTGGGAGGTTTTGGACTATTCGTAGATACCCTTCCTCCATCCGTCCTTCTAGCATCTCTGTTGTGATGGAGGACTGAAATTGCAACAATATTGAAATCTTCGCCCCAGATGGGGTAGAACGAGTTACCTACTCTAGAGCGGGGTTCATGTATGTTTATACATACCCCTTTACTTTGGGTCCCTTCACCTTGCG